AGAATGACATTTTTTACCTTCCGTTGAAAATAAATTGCTTCTGTTTTTCGCGCGGAACAGTGGACACCCGTCTTTTCATTTTAACGATCGGCCGACTGCACGTCGACCAGTGCACGCGGGCGACGTAAGTAGACGGAAATGTTTTCTGGAGTCCTTTTAATGTGGACCATCGGGCCGTCGCGACAAAAAAAAATACAATCGACTCCTATAATATTTCAAATCGATTTTGCTCGCACACGGCCCGAATAACGGGAACAAAGCACACTTTGGAGCGTAAATGTTTTGCCGAAACGACGTGCATAACCGCGCGCAGGACGGCCCGGCCGTGGAAAAGTCAGCGGAGAACGAAGAGGAGAGGGGACGAGCCGGTTGTCCGGGAAAAAATGGAAAAACGTTACGAGTGCATTCATACGCGCCGAGGCAAAATGCCTCCGTGTAAAAGTGAATTTCGCGCGACATGAATTTGTATGCGCTTTCGGAAAACGCTTTCGAAAACAGGCGCTCGTTTTCTCGCTCGCTCGCTCGCTTGCTTGTGCGCGCACGCGTCGGTCTGCATCGGCGAAACGCATCGTATGTTGCACTCAACATAAGACAATTAATTGCGAGTAACCGTCGGTCCTAGAGGGGAGCTGACACAGATGCATACTCCCGGCGCTACACCACATCTGGCGCTAAATATGACCCCTTGATTCTGAATTTTATCTTTCCCTCTAAATTCATACGCAAATTTATCGCGAGCTGAAAAGTAAACGGTCGCACATTTAACATTCCGTGCGTGCGTATCCTCGCCGTGACGGCACGTAGAAATATTGCTTTGAAAAAATGTTTCGCAACAAAGACCACTATCGACTGTTCTGTCGAAAAAATGTCAAAGTTCATAACGAAGTGCTCGATACGCGTAAGAATATACGACGGTGCTTCCGCATGCGATATTTTTGCTCGACTGGTTTAATTTAGAGTTTGGTTTATATTTCAAATGTAGATTATGCAAATACACATTGCTTAAATGGAACTTCCGACAGCTGGAAGTTTCCACTGTATGCATGTGTGTGTGTGTATGTGTAAAAGATTCTCAATTCCGAGATTCCATTCCAAGGCCGCAGAGAAGCCTTAATGCTATCACATGTTGCACACTGCTATGTAATTACTGGTTGACATAAAAAAAAAATCTACTCCTTTTTACACATTACTTCATGTGAAAGCAGTTTGATTACACACGGGAGCAGGTTGGCTCTAAACATCGCATGTACGCTTAAAGTAGATCGATAGATACGCGTTGCAAGCGTACGCCAATACCCGTCTTAGTTCCGCGTATACTTGCTAAAAACAGCGCACTTTGTTCTTTACATTGTTACGAAACCACTGTACAGAATAGTGGAGGAAGCCGTATGCTCGCGTTCTCATGACACATTTAGAAGTAAATATAGTACGATGGAAATCGTATGCTAATATCGAACGTGTTCTTCGTAATTGGATAAATAAAACCTCGCGCGAGAAAAGATGTTCACCTTCGCCGTTAAATGGGACTTGAGAGCGATCGTGATAACACCAGATCTGGCGTAACAAGCTACAATGTGCGAACGATGTTACCTAAATCTTAATAATATTCGAGCGATGTAATAAATTAACGATCACGGAATAACTATTGTCTCATAATACTTGCAAAGCGTGATACGTACGAGCCCAATATTGTCGAAAATTACTCGCTAGTGTTAAATGCGGTTAACCTCCACTTTTTATGTATATGCTGCAGGTTTTATATGCATATTTCAGAAATATATTTAATTTATTTCGAGTGCATTTTGTTATGCATGTGGCAGATGCAGAAAGTTGTGGTGGACCGCGCATAACGCATTTACGGAAAATCGCGAATAGATATCGGCTNGAGAGAGAGAGAGAGAGAGAGAGAGAGAGAGAGAGAGAGAGAGAGAGAGAGAGAGATTATCGTCCTACTCGATGCAACATTGCATCGATCGCTTCCTCTTCCTTTCCGCGCCGTTTCTGCTTTATGCGGATTCGATACGCCGGTAATCACAGGTGTTTATATTATCACTATCGGCGCGCCGCCATAGGTAACAATCGTTTAATCGCGAGCTTAAATAGCAATGTAATTATGTGCGAGAACGTAGTTTTCGCGCGCGATTAAAAGCAACTACGACGAGCGATAATTGGACACAATCAGTGCGATCGCGTCGTGTCGCATCACGAAGGTCACGGCCGTATAGCCGTGATACGTTTGCGCTGATAAAAAAAAGCGATTACTTTTATTCAATCGCGTATTAAAATCGGCCGACATTATTTAATCATCCGATCAAACGGCTAGGACAAATCTGACTAGTCATTAACAAACCGCTCGAAATGAAAATTACTTCCTTTTCGCGATTGCATCGCTCGGAGAAAAATTTGCATCCCACGGCTTTTCCGCGTCGCATCGATTAAATCCTATATTAAATCTCGACTTTCTATTCTCCGCGTGGGATTAAACGTTGCCAGCTAGAAATTTTCACGCGACTCTTCGACGCATTAGACGCGGGGGAATGTTTGCCGTGCGCGACACCCACGCGAACGTAATTTTCCACCAGTCCTTGACGGATGATAAAACGCGTGAAAAAAGATGGTAGCAGAGGGAGAGGTGTGCGACCCGGTTGCGTCAAGACGGCGGGGACGGAGTGTACGTCACGGAGAAGTTGGATCGCGAGAGGATATTCCGTCGTGTGCGCCGTAATTACGCAGTATTACGAGCGGCGTTACGACGGGGTTGTTACGTTAACGCGGGCTCGTGTTGTACGAGATGCGCGCGCGAATTAAGAAGACGGAATTAAAGCGGAGCTGCAAATTCGCTCGCGCTACTGGCTTTACCGACGACTACAACGACGAAGGCAACGACACGAATCGAAATATAAAGCCATCTTCGCACGATCTGTGAAGCACTGCAAAACTGACCAAATTCCTTGCGTATACATGAAAAGAAAAATACTGGATTCTTCGTGTATCTGATTTCCCATTATCTGGGGAATAGATGGAAACTCGGTTGTAGAAACAGAGACATTCTTCTCCCGTAGGAGGTTTCTCTTCAGTCGATTGTTCTTAGTTATCTCAACTGAGTTTTAAAGCAGCCGAATGCGCGGACGGACGTTTCCGTTCGCGATATCTTTTCCACGAGTTGTTTTCATCTGATCCTCAGATTAATTCAGTTAGCTGAATTGAGATTTTTGCGATGTGATGTCGTGATTTCACTCGGAAAATATTTAGTGAACAATTATCTCGGGATCGTCCGTGTGAAAAGATAAGAACCTGATCCGGTTTTGTTAGAAGTTAATCGGGCTGTTAATACGTCATATCTTACGTCTCATTCTCGACTTCTCTCCGGCGAATTCTCGCGCGCAATTACAGATCGCGTAAAACAGGCTTAAAGGACGCGGGGAAAGGAGAGTGTTCGTCGCCCGCTCGTCGCCGGCTCCTCTAATGCCCGCATATTTCGCGACACGTCGCGCGGAGAGACAGCGACTCCAAGTCGCGCTGCGCGTGATATTTCTCGCGCGCGACGTTTCATGCATACGGCATCGATGACGATTTTTCAACGCGACTTCTTCGCTGCTCCGCTGACGGATCGCTGTACTTGCTTTTTCGCACATTTATTACACGAGCCGGTGTAGGATCATTGAAAGCTCCGGTAAATGGGGCAACGTGGAGAGAGAGAGAGAGAGAGAGAGAGCTCGGAAACGAATGAAATTGATTATCGCAGGGTGATTTAAGTGCTACGTGCGGTCGTTCAATCGATATTCACGGTTTCTGCATTGCCCATAATTAAATGTCAAAGTGTTTCAGCGAACTTGAATATTACATCAAGAATATCGAATATGCAGAAAAATTCGCACGCAAAAAAAAACGTGCGGGCGTTTTGCGACAACCATCCCGCTATGCTTTCAGTTTATATTTTTAGTTTGCCACGTTTATCATGCTACATTTAACGCGGTAAAATTTTTATTTGTGTACACAATAGAGAATGTTATCACACGCGAAAACATCTATGATGAGAACGCTTAACAAATGGCCCTTCCTATGACATGTCAAAACGAGAAGATAAAAAAACACTGTATAGTGTGTGCTGTTGCGAAACGTAATTTGCAAACGGACTCAAGATTAAGAAGCGAAACCAAAATTTCACTCAAAGCGCGGGCTGGCCGCGAGACGGTCAAGGCCGACCTCGATTTTCGTCGAAAGCGAAAGAGATAGGGGACGCACGACCGGCAACCTTTCGCGGAGAAATCCCGAATAAGAGCGCGGACCGTCGATTAAAAATGCTCGCTCGTTTCAGTCGCACGGGCGAGTCTTAGTGGGCGACTCTCGCGACAAGAAATCGGCGAAGGACGAGCGAGCGAGCGAACGCGCAGAGGAGAAAGTCGTTGACGGAATAGCTGGAACATGCTGGATGTCAGCTGACAGAAACGAAGGCCGCGAACGGCGAGACTCCGGTGTTGATGAATCGCAACATGTCACGACGAAATTAACGAGCGTACTTCGAAAAATGGAATATGATATCCGGCAGCTTTAGTCAGCGCGCTCTTCCGCGTTTTTCGCGTTTAAAACGCCGCATGATCGGAATTACCTCAGACTATTGAAAGGGGAAGAATTTATTTTAAGAACACGTAAAAGGTAGCGCGAGCTAACAAGAACTTCAATAGCGATTAACGGTCTAACGTTATAGGCTTGGGTGATCGGAAAGTGTCTCTGGAATTTGAGTCAAGTCCCTGGTCGAGCACATGACGGTGCTTTTAACATCTAAATTAATAACGGTGATAATGAAGCGATATTAGATAGGGCAGAGAATGTCGGACGGAAAAAGAGAAAGATAGAGAGAGATAGAACGGCATGAATCACTGCGTGAGTGACAGAGCGGAGCGGCGTGTCACAAGCGAACGTCACGCCAAAGTTGACGTCCGGTGACCCCGATGTGTATCGCGCAACTTCAGACGCAACCAAGATGCGGGAGGACTTACCCGATGTGTGACGGTCGCTCGTTTCCAGTCGTGCTCGACGATGGGATTTCCAGGGAGGACGGCAAAGCTGCCACAAGCGAGGATCGCGCGAACGTCAACGGATTGACACACGATGACACGACGATAAACGGCAGACCCTCGACTATCTCTTAGCGATGCTGCTCCACGACATATTCTTCTTCCGACACGACACGACACGACTTGCTCTCTCTCTTGACGTTTTCGGCGAGAGACGGTCAGGTCGCCGCTGACATGTGCGTAGGAAACGAGAACGAGAGAGAGAGACACGAGCTCGCACTCACGATTACTACACGCCCGAAATGGAAGGAGAAGTATCGAGGAAGAGATAGACAGAGACAGACATATAGAGACGGAGGATAGAGATAGAGAAAGACGCGGCCGAATTTCCTGCCCGACAGCAGCTGCCCGATCGCGCGCGTTTCCCGTACCGCCGCCGAGTGTAGCGCACCGAGCGTAGCACCGCGCACTGACTGCTCTCGCTCCGTTCACCAAGGCGATAAACAAACTCACCGCGTCTCCCTCTGCCGCGACTCCACACTGCCGCTCGCGTCTCTCTTGCTCGCACACGAGACCTCTCGTTCCCACCCACGCCACAGCCCTCACTACACGTTCGTGATCCTCGTCGCACTGACGCACGCAATGACTCGACCGTCGCACTCTGCACGGCGCGCACGCGCTCCCCCTTCGCCGCGGACTTTACGTCACACCACCGCCAGCAAGGACGTCCCCTCTCTCTCTCCAGCGGCGCATGCACGGGGCTTCACGCGCTTCGGAGCATCGTTTATAATCTCTAATGACCTTTTTTCTCGCGCAAATCAAACTTCAAGGAGAGAAGTAACGAGTACGCGCGCATTGTTCCTAGTTCTTCGTTCGAAGAGATATCTGCGGCAGATACGCGGATGAATAGTGTTTCGTAACGCGATGCGCTTCGAAATTCGCTCACTCCACAAAGCGCACGCGTTCCTATTGGCGCCATCTCGAGGAAGTAACGATCAAACGGATCGCGAATGAATATTCGTGTGCTTAGATATAACAGAACAAATATTTGGAGGATTAAAGAAACGTTAAATATCGTTGGAAAATAAATGCATCCGATACTATAACCGCTCATTGAACGCTCAGTGAGCTGTTGCATTTGGTTGGCATATTCTCTCTTTTCTTTTTAAGTACACACCAGAGAGTGTTAGATACAACAGCTCACTGAGCGCTTAGTGAGTGGTTGTAGTACCGAATACATATTATTGTAGTCCGCTTCTTTTAGTTGCACTGTTGAACTGGTGTAATAAGTTAGAACGAAATAAAATATGCTTAGGTCTGTTCGTTTTCGCTGCACCGCTGAACTAGTGCAATAAGTTGAAGCGAGACAAGTATATGTTTACTCACTTCAACTTATTGCACTAGTTCAGCGGTGCAGCGAAAACGAACAGACCTCTTGTCTCATTCTTATTACACTAGTAGTGCACTAGTTCAGTAGTGCACTTAAAAGTTCTTTTAACGGACCAATTGTCTGTTCTTTTTAGATGAGCTGACTGCAGTTTGAGAAATTTACCTACATATTGAAACGTATAAAGTGCACGTATCAAATTCTCACGCTCCAGTGTGTGTAAGTTTCTTGAACTAGTGCAGCCAATTCAGCTAAAAAGAACAGGCCAAATGTTTTCATTTGTAACTTTGATTAAGGTAATTCAGGGTTTGGTATGTTATCCGTCGAAAGTTTATCCCGAATTTATCCCGTATCAATCGCATCAAGAAACGTCGGTAACACTGTATTAGCGGCTTAAAACAATATGATAATGCAGTAACCTTTAAGTCGAGTTTACCGACTGTCTCGAGTAATCCTTCGTATCTCCGTTAGGCCTGTGGCACACAAAAAACGTAAGCAGTCAGTTGACCAACCACAGTCGACTATTCTTAAGGTCAAAGAATAATCAATTACGTACATTTTCTTACTGCTTAAAATTCTATCCAGACAAACTTGCATTATCGCATATACATGAGGAAATCAATCAATCATGATCTGTGCGGATAAACAATGTCTCCTATTATCAGGCAAATAATTAGTTTCCTTATGCTGCAATATGCAATTATGCAATTTCCTTATGCTGCAAAATGCAATTATGCAAGCTGGTCTGGATAGGCTTTTATTGCTTACGTCTTGTGTATGTCACATTAGCCTTAATCCCGTGTTAAATTACACGTTGCAGACGCGGATTAGACTTGCAAACTGCAAGTTGTTAACCAGTCAATCCGATTAAAGTAGCCAAAGATCCATTGATTTGTCAATGATTCGCAGTTCGCAATCCTAATCCACGTCAGCAATGCGTAGTGTGACACAAGCTTTATTCTTGCTATTCTATATTATGTTAGCAGAATGGCTGACTTATTGGAGTTTAAGACAATATGTACTAACGTAGTTCACATGCATTTTCTCAGGAAAAGATAGTCCCCTGAAAAACGGCCGGGTGACCGTTCTCTGGTTTCTCTTTGAGGTCGTTCTATCCTTAAAAAAACAGCATCTAGTCGGGTTTCGCGAATAGATAATACACAATTCTACAAACAAAAGTAGCAAACCTATTATCTGCGGCAGGCTTTGCACTGACGATGTGCTTATCTCCCTCTCCAATCGACGAGTCAGAAGCGTAATACGCAGCGATTTAAATTCCCAACCGTCGTAACCGGCGAACGCACGATACTTCGTTCGGCACTCCCAGGTGTCCCGTTCCGTGAGATAATGTTCAAGACGCCTGTTTAACGATGTTTCATCGCGACACACACGCGAGATATATTTTCAGTACTCCTGGCGATAATTTGAACACGAGGCTCACTTGAGAACGAAATTCGACACGAGACACGAAGTCGCAAAAAAGTACGCAACGATTCCCCGAATCGTCGCATCGTGATTGGTTGGTAACTGATCACGTTAGGACGACGGTTGAGATTCTCGGAATCGCGCGACAAAACCGCCGGTAGCTCGTTCCCCCAACTACTCACTTTAGGCGACTTTTTAACGGTATCTTGTCTAGACAAAAGACGAGAGACTTACTTTCGAAACTTCTGGTAACAATACAGGCACCTGACGTTGCTTCCGTAGCTCAAAAGCATGAAGTGCAAGTGTCCAACTTCCGAATCGCCATTGCACGAAAGCGGATGATACATTGCTCGACACTCCAGGCCACGAAATGTCTCATTTCGACGGCTATCTAGCCATATTTTGCCGTGACAAACGAGCGAAATTGATTTTCGATATTCCCGACGACAATTCGAACGCGAGACTCACCTGAGGCGAGCCTAAATTGCGGCAAATACGGAGCGGCTCGTCAAATCCGAATTACCGCGTCGCGATCGCTCCGCAACTGACCATAAACATGGAGGCGCTTGCGATTATCGAAGTATTTTGCGATATTCGATTCTCAAGTCGATATTCAATTCCGAGATCGATCCTCGCCGAATTCGAGATCGATCGGTTATTTATTAATCTCTATTTATTTTGTACGCGAAAAATATTAATTCAAGCAATATATCTAATGCAATAAATAAAAATATAATATAATAAATAAATAACGATTCTGTGAAGACTATAATTCATTATGTTCTCGAAAAGTTGTACATTGCAAATAGTTAGCAATTATGAATTTCGGTTTTAGAGTGTCAATATATTCGTTGCAGCAAATCCAAATTAATGATTCACTATTAATTAAAAATCATTTGATAGGAAAATGCTGAAATTATTTCAGAAAGATAATCTATGTATGCGAAATATTAAAATAAATAATACTATTACGTAATCTCGAGTGCTACGTTGAAACAACTCGAACGATCGTGCGAAATTTCACTTTGACCGTGAAAACTCCGTAAGAGCGAAGTGAAACTACGAATATGAAAGTTCAAGGAACATTCAGATAACAATTCGTAAAATTAATATTGCATTATATGCTAATTACGTGTATTTGCAGTCGTATCAGCTGTGGCACGAACTTCAACATTTAGTAACGCGCCGGATGATAAAGCAAACGCTAGAAGTTAGTTCCTGACTCCACCGCTTGTGTCGATAGCATCACAGGTCGACGCAGCCACAGACGACGCGGTAGCGACTGGTGGCGACTCTTTTTCGTTCGTTTCGTGTCTCGTACGCTACATTCGCCAACATGGTACGTATATTAGTTTCCAAATTTTAATCTGCAAGAATCGTAATGATCCGCGATAACCTGTTGAAAATTAACACATATTCGCTTCATGAATGATTTACTCGGTTCGGGAGTGCGAATATTCGGTCACGAACCGCCATAATTACTATTTTTAGGTTTAGGTTATGTTCAGATCTGGCAATGCGATACAACAGTTGTGAATGATAAAATAGATATTTCCTCTCGTATAAAGCTATTGATTTATGCTATTTTCTCACCGTTTACAGAGTCGTGTTAGAACGAAGACGGTCAAGAAGGCCGCGAAGCTGATCATTGAGAAATATTACCCACGCCTCACATTGGATTTTCATACAAACAAGAGGATATGCGAGGAGATCGCTATTATCCCCAGCAAATCTCTGCGCAACAAGATTGCTGGGTAAGTATTAGCCGCAATATTCAACAAATTGCAATTTGGAACAACTTGTGTTATTATTACTCCATTCAATGATCAATGACGAAGAAAGTTGCGATGTAAGGTTTGTTCTTTGTCGCTGAACTATCACACATTTTCAGAACTTAAAAGACACAGATATAACTGTGACCTTGTTGTAAGAAAGAAATACAACTAGTGCAAGCCAATGCAGCTAGTTCAGCTATAAAGAACAAACTTATGTTTTACCTACGAAAACAACCACTAATACGCTAATACTTTGATTCTTCCATGAATTTAATCATAAATTAAGTAGATTATATCTTTCTATAACCATGCTATAATTGTTACCATTGTATGTTTATCATTAGGTTTGTCACTCACCTGATGAAGAGGCTTAGGCACAGTCAGGTACGTGGTATCTCCATAAAGCTGCAGGAGGAAGAGAGGGAACGCCGAGACAACTATGTTCCCGAGGTTTCTGCTTTGGAGCACGATATCATCGAGGTTGACCCGGAGACTAAGGAGATGCTGAAGATGCTCGAGTTCAACAACATCACTGGGCTCCAACTTACACAACCTGTTCCACAATTTAGCAGGCGTTCTTAAATATTCTCTTTCTTTTTCACTCTCGATAAACATGGTTGGTTTTGCATTTTTCAATAAAATTGCAAACTAACATACACGACAATGTGTACTGTGTTGTATTTGTCGCGGCGTTCGCGAACCTTGTTTATCGATAACCTCAAAAACCTGCTCCACATTGAGAATGCTCCCGAAAAATTACGCGTCAGACCAAGTTCTCACGATTATCACTAGCCGAGTGTAATCGGTGCTCAAAGACGTATCACGTTGAAGGAAACAATCGAAAACGATACAATTCATAAACACGATGCAAGAGAAAAAAAGAGAAACGAAAGCAAAGGTGGTAACGCGCATGCGTTCAGTTCGCCATTTTAATCGTACTGAACGAAACGTGCGACGGTCGCCTGTGTCGCATCCCGAACCCGAATACATTTGCAGCAAAAACGTTTACTCCCGTGGGCTACATAAGACATAAACGGTAAAGGTTCGTTGACCTCGCGATTCTACGCTATCGGCGGATCTGCGTCGCACACACGAATAATAACATTATCGCACACGTGCGTGACGTCGGAAACATCGCCGTCGGCGGTCACATCGCATTAATTTCTCGAACCCGCGTCTCGTTTGTCGCGTCTCCACTCGGAGAGCATCGGCTGCCTCTAATTACGCTCGATATTATCGCCGACGGGAGTATTACGTTGCCGTTGAAGGAACCGGTAGCCCGCTAGCTCGCGACGTTTCTCACGTCGAGCGCGCGGTCGCACCGAGGGGCGGGTTGAAGGAGAGTTGCGACTACATCCCTGAGCCAACGACGCATCGGCCAGGTGCAGCGCCAACATCTCCCGGTGCTGGAGTCGAGTCTGTCGCGATACCGGGATTCGCGTCTCTCGGTTATCTGGTTCTCGGACAATGCGCTTTGTATGAAAAAGCGGCGGGAAGGAAGGGGACGATGTATGTGCGACGAGACCGAGCTCTCGACGCGGCGGGACTCGGTATTGTCGAAAACGCTCACTCTCTCCATCTCTCTCTTTCCTAAGACGCGTATTTATTTCCCCACGGCGGAGCGCGTCGGTCGCGATTAGCATGCAGCGCGGCTACGTCGATCGAAGAGAATTTTCCCATGCCGCCGTCAGTAAGCGCGCTCGGCGTCCTCTGCGCGACGACCTTAACGAGATCGATCAGCGACGGCGTCGTCCAGCAGAGTGCAAATCCGAGTTGAACGTTCGTCTGTGCTCGCGACGGAAAACCTCGCCGGATTTTCGCGCCCTCGACATCGAGTCGGCCCTGGTCGAGCCAAGAGGCTGCGCGCGACCTAGCGCGATCCAAGGCTAGGGAACCTAGCACAACCTGGTGTCGCGCGCGCGGCGGCTCGGTCGGTGGAGAAAGCGAGAAGGAGACAGAGGGGAAGAAGAAAGGGCGCGACACGACTCGCGAGTGAGACAGAGAAGGCGATAGATGAACGAAGCGACGGCGAGAGCAGCGCTTCAGGGCGCTCGGAGGCGGGGAGAAAGGGAGCGTGCACGGCAGGCCGACGAGTCAGTCGACTATTAGTGGTCTGTGACTCTGGAGGTGGGCCGACCACCGCAGAACCGAGCCGGACTGAGCTCGGTCGCGCTCGGCCGGCAGTCGGGGCCAGTCGGCCGCACCGCCGCTCTCTTCGGATCGCCGAGCCGTGCCGCGTCGCGTCGCGTCGCGCCACTCGCTCGCTCTCACATCGCGTTCCTGCCTCTCAGTACGTTATACGTCGTGCAACGAGAACGGTCTTTCGCTCTTTCCGTCCGTTCTCGCCGTGCTTTTATTTTTTTCGTTCAAGGCGTCGCGAGAGTATTAATCGACGTCGCGCTATGTGACGGGATATCGCGGGGCACCGTAGTGTGTACCCCGTCGTCGTCTCTCTCTTCTCTACGTGTGTACTGTCCCCCCTCCCCCGACTCTTCCGTCCTCGCCTCGCCGGCGGATCCCTCGCCCTTTACCGAGACCTACCCCACCTCCCCCTCTGTCTCCTCTCCTGCTATCCGTGTCCCCCTACCTCCCCCCGGCCCATCTTGTCCCTGTCCTTCCCCTCTAGCCGTTCCTCGCTCGCTGTTCCATCGTGGAAAGAGAGAAAGACGGATTACCTCGTGAACGCGCGTACACGGCGACGAGGGGGCCACGAGGGCCCCGTGGACAAGCGTGCCTGGCGAAAACATGGAGTGCCCGCACCTTGGTCAAAGCGTGCGATTCGGCAATGACGACGTAGATGCGAGCTGCGCTCTGAAGGACCTCCCGTTCGTCTGCGCAGGTAAGGACTCGTCGCACAAAGCGACCGGAGACGTGCCTACCGATTCTCTAGGCTCGCTCGGGACGGGAGAGCGACGAAGCGAGTGATAGATGGATAGAGATGGGCACGGAGGGGAACCGGCTCGTCGTTCTCCCGAGCGATCCTTTCTTTCCTGCGTCGCGCGAGCTCCGTTTTGCACGTTGCTCTTCCCGGAGAGCCCAGGTTCTCTCTCTTCCCCCCCCCCCATTCTTTCTCTTTTTCTCGCTCTCCCTCTCCGCCCTGTCTTCCGCTCCCTTTTACGCTCCTCTTCCTCTCGCACGAGCACACACAACACAGATACACGCACGCGCGCGCTTGCGGCTCTCACTCCTTCTCTTTTTCTCCCTCTCTTTCTCTCTCTCTCCCACACACAACACACACACACACAACACTCTCTCTCTCGCGCGCGCATACGCTCTTTGCCTACGTTCCGTCTCTCTCTATCCCGTGACCCAGGCCCCGGCCGTTCCTCTCGCGGCCTTGAGCCGTCGCAGCCGACGAGACGGAGCGGATCGTCGCTGCTGTTTCCTTCGGGAAATGCGGCGCGCACTCCGCAAAAAACGATGAACGTTGATCGGCCGCATTTCCACGACGCCGCTATTGTCGGCCGTCCCGCGACGCTCCATTTGACGTGCGAAACAACGAGCGAGTGACGTATCGTACGGATCGAACTCGTCGCGCGAGTATATGCGCATATATGTACATGGCGCGCTCTCTCTCACACACAGACTCAGCCTCTCTTTCTCTCCCCCCTCTGTCTCCTTCTGTCTATCTCTCTTTCGTTCGCTCTCGAAGCGACATTGCACGCGGTGAAACGTATCGTACGCCTTGCAAACGAGCGAGCGGCACAACAGCGGGCTAGATGTGCACGGATACGTCCGTGTAGCCGCTCGTTCTCGCGTGGTGTGTCCGTGTCTCCCATGGCTCGGTTCCGCGCGCGCGGGAGTGCGACGGCGAGATTGGCGGTGTGGTCGGTGTGATGTGATGATGTGACGTGGTGTGCGCGTGTGCGTCGTCCTGCTGGGAGTTCTCAGTATGCGGCGCGCGGCCGTCATTGGAAAATCAATACCAGACGGCACTAATCAGCTGGCCCAAGATCCGTCATTAGAACTCGCCGGCTATAACGGTCCACCGTTGCTCTCTTTCGCAACTCGCCTGTTCGCGACAGTATCTCACTAGAATCCCACGTCCGTGAGGAAAGGGTGAAAGGAGGGAGGAGCGAGAGAGTGGGGGAGAGAGAGAGAGAGAAAGAGAGCGGCGTGTAGTACGAAAATATAGAATCGTCCATGCAGAAACTTCGATGACGAACAATCGATGACGTTCTGCAGCTCGGGGGGGAGAAAAGGGAGCCGCGGTGTCTGCGTGTGTGTTGTGTGTGCACGAATATATAGGACCTTCGTCCTTCGGGCCAGACAGTGACATTGGTCGTGCTCCGACGTATCGATTTAAAGATACGTGGACGGTGGTCATTAGAGGGAGATGCTATAGAGATATAGAATCGTTGCCATAAACATTAAAGTTAACTAAAGTTTGACCGACGCTCCCCCCCTCCTCCCCCCTCTCTCTTCGTGAACTTTTCTGTGACTTCATCGAGAATGAACGCAAAATTCGACCGGGGCTTGATACCGACCAGTGGCATCGACCAATGCCAACAATCGAGTTGTGGGGACGCTTTTGCTGATCGAGCCGAAAACGCGTCGGGACATCGCGAGCGAATCGTTCATGGATTACGGGGCGCGCGAAAGCGACGGATAAGTGTTATCACGCAGCGCTGCGTGAGTTGTGTTAAAGTGCCGGCGTTTACGAGACAATGCACGACGCTGGGGCGCGGAGGAAGAGGAGGACGGGGGGGGGGCGAATGCGCGGAGAGAGGGCAGGCCGACGACGACGATCGTTCGAGAGGAGAGGAGAGCCGCCCCTCGGAGGCCGTGAAATCGACAACGGCCACGACCGACGAGAGAGAGCTCGTTCTTCCTCGAATCCTGGTGCGATCCTCCACGACACCGCGCCGAACTCCTTCCTTTCTCTTTGCGCGACCTCGGGACTATATTTATCCGAAACGTGCGCGTTTTTTCTCCCCTTGCGCGCGTCCACCGTCGACGGAGCTCCCCTCTGTCCCCTGGCGCCCCTCTTGCCCGCCCCGTGCGCATAGCCCCCGGCGGTCGGAACCCCTCATAGATCGGCGCAATTGAAGTCGCAAAGTACGGCTCCACCCGGCTCAGCCAATTCCGTCCGGCGATTCGCGTTTCTCCGTGTCGGCAATATCGTCGATATCTTATGTAAGTCGATGCCATTATCGATTCTCCGTATCAGCAGTGATGATGCGTGCTCTTGACCGGTGTATGACATACGTCGCGGGTTCGCGATTCATAGAGACGCGCCAAGAGCGGACGATGCGAAAGAAAGAGAAGGGTCCTTATTCCGATCGAAAAGGGTAACGCGAAGGTGTATTCGCGAGAGTTTCGCAAGATGGTGCAATTACGATAAACGGTGGCGATGATGTGGGCATAAGAATAAGTCGAGTTCTATCTTACATAAATGGAAATGACGTTATCTATTAATTGATGGGAAAGAGAGAAAGCGAGGGGAAGGGAAACGTGAAACAGCCGGGGGTCGGGCTGCGTGTTCGCGCGTCGAACGTCAAACTTATTCGCAGTCTGCTCGCGATTTTCCTTTCACGTTCGAGTCAAACGAAGTACACTTGTGCCTATTGTTGTACATTTATTTCGACAAATAAGCAGCGATTATTCACCGCACGATGGAACGATTTCAGCTAGCCTGGTGACAGATAGCTAGTAATACACGAGAAATAACTGGACGCTTGAGCGTAACGAGACAGATAATAGAGAATCATAGGTTAAGGCAAGATAAAAAAGATTGCCACGAAGAACGACATACACACACACACACACGTGTCTGTGTACAATACGTAGTACGTGTACGAGGAGGTAGATACGTCACTGGCGATGAGTCAGTGTCCCGACGAGCGTGCGGGCGGGTGAGCGGACGGACGGACGAGCGCGTACTTTTCCCCCGTGGACTGTTTGATTACTCAACACGGTATCGACGATACCGGTCGATTCGTGGGTCCCGAGTGCTTTCGCGTCGTCATGGCCATCTGCCAAAGATGCTCATCGATATTAGCATGTTAAAAAGCATCTCACGACTATTATCGATGAAACGACAATCCCGTTTTTTATTACTTCGCGAAAGTCTGAAGCGGCTTCGCTTCATCGTGATTTCCCATCGAGATAAGATACCGAAAATCAGAAATTTCTCTAGGAGTCTTTATCTCTCCTATCGAATTTTATGGCTACCTTATCAGAGTCGTTCAGTATTCATCAATAATAATATTTATTTCAATATTTATCTTACCATTGATTCAGCGTTCGAATGATATTATAACGAATGAAGATATTTTTTGATGACTTCCTAAACGCCTTCGGTTGTGTCATCGCTGGCCACGACGACACGTCGTCGAGATTAACGTCGCGAGAGACCGGAGCGAGAGAGCGGTTCACGCTCGGCGAATCGCGACGTATCCGGCGGATCGATTTAAATGCCTCGGCGGAATCGCGCCGCGGTGGCCGCCGCGTGCGTTTCGCCGGCTGCGAGAGAACGAAAGAGAAAGAGAGGAGGGGGGGAGAGAGAGAGAGAGAGAGAGGGGCGGAGAGAGAAAAAAGTATCGCCCCTTACGCACTATAAAAGGACCCTCGTCCGCGCCGCCGCCCCTCTTCCGCCGCTTTTCCTACGCTGCCGCTGCTGTTGCCGCGGCTGCTGCTGGTGCAGACTGCCTTCGGCTACACGACGTTGCAAAATCGATAATCGCGCCGTCGTTGCTAATCGGATAGCTGCTCTCGCTGTGAGAACGCTGGGGACGCTTTTGCCTCGATACCGCTGCAGCGCGGATACTTTGAACCCGGAGAGTCGGGCACCTTTGGCATTTTTATCGTGAACGTCGCTTCGCTGAGAAAACCGCGAGATAATGCGGAGTGGCGTGCACGCCACTGCGGAATCGAGTGTCGCGGAGCGGTTCTGCACGAGACGGTGCATTTTTTACGAAGTCGCGAACACACGACGAGGATCTTCCGTGAAGGCGAACCGAGTACATCAATGCCCGATCGAGCGAGCGAGCTCTTCACTCACCCTTCGTACTCACACACACAGATACGTCGTCATTCTCCTAGTCGTCGACGACGTCGGTTCTCCAGTGACAACGGCGATGACTACTACGACGACGTCGCCGTCGTCGTCGTCGCCGTGTCTCGTAGGCGTGGCGGAATCGAATCGTCCGTTACCGAGATGGAAAGAGATAGCCGAGCTGCGGGCGAGATAAAGAGGGAGAAAGCCGTCCGACACAGTCGTTTCTTCTTCGAGTACGCGAGTACTTCCTCCCCGCTCCCGCGTTTCTCCACGACGGTACCGCGCGACTATCGCTGGCTCTCCCGTGAGAGGAGACCAAAACTCGATTTTCGGTGTGTCTGCCGACGCTCGCCCGTTACGCACTCTTTAATTCCTCACTTGATGATGCAATCCCCGAGAATACTTCCCCCGGGTTTTTGCACCGACGCCACGTGTGTCGCCGATTCTTGCGATGGTCGGTGATTTGCGAGCGAAAAACCGCAAAACCACGCGCGCTCGCTCGACCGAGTCCGTCGGTTCGCACGACGAAGAGTCCGATCGAGTTCGTATGAACTTGAACGGGGAATACGATTTTGTCGTCATGCAAACGACTCTCCTCGCGTTCGTCACACGGCGAACGTCGCGTTCGTGTACACGGAAAAAATGCTATTGTGTCAACAGAGTTGATTATAGCGCTATAATCTTAATTCAACAGCAATATTATCAAAAATAACATTATTAAAACGACATATGGTGCCGCAAATAAGTGACCGTAAAGCTTTATAACCAAATTAAATGATCGAAAATTGTATGATGTAGTTGCAACAACATTGCTATCGAATCAATATTTACTGCAATTATGTTGTGTAGTTTTAAACTTTCAGAAAAAAAGTCGTTTCTCTTCCAGATTTTGCCGCGGATTTTTTGGTTCTTTATACCTTCTTTACGGAAAAAAGTAAACGCGGCGTGTTTTATTAATCGAACTGCATGTAAATTTTTCTAAACGAATTTTGTACTCTTGGGACAGAAAAAAATTCGCAAAAAATTGGGGAAAAAAAACAGGTTTTTTCCGAAACTTGAAAACTAGACGCTGTTGGCCAACTCTATTGGCACAGCAGCATTCTTTTTCGCGTAACTGTCGTTGTTATCATGATGATCCCCCGAATCGCTTGATTGAGCACAGACGGCTGGTCACGTTGGACGAACGAGTTCGCGCTCGACGCGCGAACGATGTCGTACATACGACCGGTCGTGAAGCTTCATGCATTTTCGGCTGATAACACGAGTCTCGTTACGCCGTTCGTTATCTGCGAAACTACGACGCATCGAGGTGGTCATGCCGTGGCGCGCGACGCGACGCTCTGTGCCACCCGCGTCGTTTCAGCGACGACGATTTATTTTCCAGCAGATATCGGCGCTAATGGTGTTCCCGGCGACGTTCTCCCCCTGATCCCAACATGAAACATGCCGGAATCACGATGGCTTATCGGTCAGGCGACATTTAGGCCGATTTAAATTGTGTAGGCCGCGAATCGCTCACACCACGTAACCGACGCCGTTCAATCGACACCGTCTTCTCCGAGGCTTGTGCCCTTGCACACCTATTTCACACGTTATCGTCGACGAGGAAAGAAAACGTATCGCGATTCGCAATCAGCAGTGAATCATTGCGCAATCGGCGTCTGATCGTTGACACAGTTTTTTATGCATCACATCGGTCAAGCCGCTGAAAAATTAGCATAATTGTTATTTACATTACAAAATAGTCGTCGTTCTCGGCATGTGGACACGTGAGCGTCGCATTTTTCCGTTTGTTTCTTAGTAGCGGTGACAGAGAGAGATAGAGAGAGAGAGAGAGAGGGGCAAAACGTGTCCTTTTCAGGCGTGATTTGGTCGTTTAATCGAAACCGCTCGATATTTCAATCCCCCTCCATTCCTTGCCGAGCAGTTCTCGAACTGTGAACGAGACACTGATTAAAACGTGCCGGTAGCGCGCACGTCTAAGGCTTCCCACGTCGACACCGAAAACGAACACACGAGTCCTCCCAGATAATAATGACGACCTTCGGCGAGATCAGATTTCCGCGGTTGGACTTTTGGCGTTGCCGTTTCACTTTTCACGCGTCCGCGCTTTTTAACCTTCGTTCTAGGAGCGCCTCGTTCTCCCGTTCCACGCCGTGTAAGATTACAACTGCCGCTCGTGAATGTCGGATAATCGGCCGACTCGGGAAAGAAAAGGAAGAGAAGGAGAATTCGAATAACAGAGAGAGAGAGAGAGAGAGAGAAGGATACACTCTGAGTTCCGATCGTCGACGTGGATTCGTGAATCCGCCTGCATATGCTTTGCATATGCAAAGCGGTGACGGATTTACACCTTCCGTTGCCTTGAGTCACACGATTCAAGCCCTCCCGTTATGGATGATTCTAATCTTAGAGTTCTATACTGTTTGACGCTTTAATTCACTCCTGCCTTGAGTGTGACACGTATCTCTGAACAGCCTTTCCGAAAATCTCTCTCCTTCCCTCCCTCCCTCCCTCCCTCCCTCTCTTTCTCATTTTTTTACGTACTGACCTCGCGATTCTAAAGTGAGTGGCTAAATATATTCTGTTATCAACGCGCCGCGGATTTCTTCCGCGGAGTATTCCGCGAGAGAGACGCGGGGAAGAAACGCCTCTCCGAGTGTGAAATAACTCGTTCCTATCGGCGCGTCCGCGTCGTCGCATTCGAACCCCCGCGTTCTCGCCGCTGCTGCAAAATTCAATGATTCGAGGATACCTCGAAACGCTCCTCGTTTGCCGCCTTAATTAACGCGACGTTCCCTCTCGAAGAGAGAGATTTCGAGTGGTTGAAGATAAAAAAAAAGAAGCACGAAACGCGTAGGAATCCGAAGCCCGATGGAATTCCGAGACATTTCGCGATCGATCGGCTGCGAAGGGGGTGTGTCGAACCCCCACTCTCCTCCGCACCCCGCTTTTACGCGCTCTCTCGAGAATTACGTAAGCTGAGACGAGCCGAAACGACACGGCGGTGGTGCCGACTCGGTACTCGCAATTTCGCAACCACCAGATACATTACATCCTGCGACTGGATGGTTGTCGATCGCGCTCATTGAATCGTTGAAGATCACTCCGAGGAGAATATATGCCGGTTATTGGAAGCCTGTCGCGGAAAAAGAACGTGTTAATTTGAGATGTCTAATTTTATCAGTAGAAATATTAATTTTGACGTACTAACAATTCAAAACAGACAGATGAGGCGGCTATATTTAATGCTAAATATGTAGCCCACAAAATTGTTATCCTGTCGATAATAAAAATGCTATTAACGTGTGTGTTTTGCATGTGTGCGCGCGAATATATGTATGTACGTACGTGTCCCAAGTTAGCTTAGAATGCCATAAGCGCGTTTATTTACCGTATCGTCAAACAATCAGATCGAAAGTTGAACCCTTCGGTATATTCAGTAGAAATCAACGCGGCAATCAACGTGTTCAGAATATTTTCTTTCTCTTTTTTCTTTCACGTGTAAAGACTACAAATTTGTTCTCTGATGCGAAACACGCCCGCTCCCTCGCTTGATTGTTAATACAACAGCATCGATCGGGACTTATTGCGAATAATCGTTATTCACGAATGGTATTATTATCGTTGCATAGTGTGTGGCACCGAGAAGAGTCCCTGGCTCTGTCTGCACTGCGGGGCCGTGCACTGCGGACGGTACGTAGCGGGCCACGCGCTGCAGCACTACGAGACTAATACTCAGCACTGCGTGTGCATAGACTGTGAGAACCTGGCAGTATTCTGGTGAGTCTTCGTTTCCCCTTCGCTTTCACCGTTGCATGCTACCGTCTGGGCGTATCCCCTCCCCCCCCCTCCCCTCGCCCTTTGAAACCGGTGTAATTTCAAAGTGTTCTGAATTTTCGATCCCGCGAGACACGCGAAAATATAACGCCTTACCTTACCTCACCATGCGTCACCCCACCTTACTTCACCTCATCTCTCCTCACCTCATCTTACCTCACTTTACGCCGATCGACACGCGCTTTCACTGTCACGAGTAAACGTAGAGATCACTTTTGCGCGTTTCGATATAACCCAAGAAACACCCCGGGCGATAAATCTTGCGATGCGGAGATGTTGCAACGTGTCTGGTTCGGCTTGCAGTTATACCTGCGACGAGTACGTGGTGAATGACACCACAAGCGGGCAGATCGAGAAGATACGGCGCGTCACCTTCCGCAAGGACGAGCACAAGGAGAATGAGACGAGCTGGAACACGTCGCCGTCCACGACGCCTCCGTCGTCGAGGCGCGACAACGTCGGCCACGACGATCCGGACGATCCGGACGACCCGGACGCTCTGTGGAAGGCGGAGGTGGTCGTGAGGAACCTACGACCAAGGACCGCGCGCAAGAGGCTACACGCCCTGGACGCGAGCAGCGCGGACAATCGACCGGCGACCAAGCGGCGCAGCTCCAAGAGTACCAAAGAGAAGAAGGTCGTCGGTCTGAGAAACCTCGGTAATACCTGCTTCATGAACGTGGTGCTGCAGTCCTTCAACAACATCAGCCACTTCTGCGAGTACCTCACGCAGATGCCGTGCTTGGAGGGCATCGCGTTCGACGAATCGTCGTTGGAGCCGCCCACACATCGGGGTCGCATCGTCACTCCGGGCCGCGCCAAAGAGATGTCCATGAGCGACGCCCTGTTGGCCGAGGAGCTGAGGAAGGTATTGCTGGGCTTGAGCCTGGGTGGGTCCAACGGTCAGGCCATCTCTCCCGAGTGCCTGTTCCTCGCTATCTGGAAAGTCGTGCCGAGATTTCGAGGCTACCAGCAGCAGGACGCTCACGAGTTTCTCACTTACATGCTCGATCGACTGCACACCGAACTGCTGCAGTTGCTGCCCAGACTGGGACACGAGCCTTTGGGATTGCGTGGCAAACAGAGCATCGTGACCGCCGTCTTCGGAGGCACTCTTCTTAGCGTGGTAAGTTCGCTGCTTCTGTCTCGAAAAAAAAAAAGAAAAGAAAAGAAAAGAAAGAAAGACAAAAGAGAGAGAGAGTCTCGAATGCGCGCGAAACGTGAGCGATTTTTTTCGAGCGGGTCGAGCGGCAGGAAGGGAATCTCTGTGCTCTCGAGAGTAATCGGTGTCGCTAGCCAAAATCACGTTCTTCTTCGTTTTCTTCTTGGGAGAAGCGCGGACGAATTATGGATCGCGTTTCCTCGCGCAGGTCCATTGCATGAACTGCCGCACGGACTCGAAGACGCACGAGCCCTTCCAGGATCTCTCGCTGGACATACCGGACAGGCTGCAGAGACGGACGAAGGAGCAGGAGGAGGTATGCAGTCTGACTTACAGTCTTACGAGATTCTTCAAGGTCGAGGAGCTGGCCGACAGCGAGCTCTACTTCTGCGACAATTGCATGGGCAAGCAGAGGTCCACCAAGAGGTTCTGGATACACAGGCTGCCTAACGTGAGTGTCACGAAAACATTCAAAAATTATACGCGAGATCTATACATGGATCACGAATTTTTATTTTTTGTTTTACTTAAGAATATATATATATATTTTTTTTTTTTTTTTTACCGCAAGATCATACATATACACATCCTTGTATGTTCCAAGCTTTTACATTTCTACTTTTCGCGATATATACAAATATATGCGTGTATATGTGTATATATGTGTGTGTGTGTGCGTGCGTGTGTGTTTGTGTATAAAGAATATATATATACTTTTTTCGACTGTGTTCTAATTTTACTAAACGCAGTGCAGTCGCGAGCCTGCGTGTCTCGCTCGATATAATTTGCATGAACGAACGCGACCCGAAAAGAAGGGAGCTTTCGATCGGGCAGAAACACGTCGTACACGAGCGACGGTCGATGTTTACGTTGCGCCTTTTTCCAGGTGTTGTGCCTTCACATTAAAAGATTTAGGTGGTGTAATTCCTATCGCTCGAAGGTGGACACGCAGGTGGACTTTCCGATGGAGTCTCTCGACATGTCCGCGTTCACCGTGCGCGGCATGACCGGGACGAGATTGGGCGCTCAGAATAGTCACCTTTACGACTTGGCTGCCGTTATCGTACACCATGGCTCTGGGTACGGTCCTAAACAACGCTTCTAATTACAGGCCGGCCAGCCAGTCGGGTTGGTCGCCCGCTCGCTCTCGAGGAAAGCATATCGAAATTTTTCCCGCGATAACAACTATCGTGCGCCACGCTTATATCTGATAAGATAACGCAGCTCGATTGCGCTTCAATTGAAATGCATTTCTACAATCTACGTTTTAAAAAAAGCCTTCTGGAATGTGTGTCAGTGAATTGCGCACCGATTATTTACCGCGAGAATTTTTCTTTTCGAGACGAGTCAAATGAAGGATTTATTTATTCATTTATTACTGAATGAAGGAGAACTTTGATTACGTAGAAGATACAAATATACTTGTAGAGATGTATAAAAAAAAAATATATATATATATAAAGAAAAAGAAAGGAAGAAAGAATATACGGAGCATTAAACCAGAAATCAATGTGAAACGTCGTCATTTGATCATTTAAAAATGCCAATATTGCGCTAGTTTTATCATTAGCGATGAACAGGCGATCTTTATTATTTATGACGTTTGGAAAGCGAAGTCGTGACATCGTAAAATTTCACGTTGCAGTGCGGGTACCGGCCACTACACTGCCTTCGCTGTGCACGACGGCCAGTGGTTCCACTTTAACGACAGCTCCGTGCGGCCGGCGAGTACCGAGTCTGTCGCGAAGTGCAAGCCTTACATTCTGTTCTACGTGCGGAAGGAGTTCTCCATTCCACCCCCCTTGTGACGTCGTTTCGCCGACAAGAAGCTGCGTCCCGGCGGCGAGAACCTCGATAACGAGAATGACGATGAAGAAGACGACGATGATGACGATAACGACGATAAAGTGGAGCGAACGAAAGAGAACTGAGCGTACCGCGTTCCTCGCGAACGAATCTCGATCGCGGGGCGGAGCGCGAGCAGACGAATACAAAGAAAGAGAGAGAGAGAGAGAGAGAGAGAGCGCCAAGCGGAAAGAACAAAAAATCGCACCTCGAGTGTCGTTTCGAGATCGGAAGAGGAAGATTCGTCCGTTTATCGCCTGTATTATTCAGATAAATGATTGCTCACCGTTGCCAAATCGTACAATCTCGTAGAAGCGTTATTCGTGTCCGTGTTCGCTATCGCGTTTCGATGACTCGTGGCGAAGGCGACCTTTGAAACGCGATTGGAGTAACCGGTCAGAGATGTAATTGCGCCGCGTGTAAAATCGCTCGAGCCGCGTTCCTCCTCGTGCTTTATTAGGTAGTTAAAATCGGGCGGACTCTGAATTAGCTCGACGTGTATCATGAGAAAGAGAGAGAAAGAAAGAGGCAGAGAAAGATCGACTAATACGGCGCGCGAGCGTGTATCGCATTACTGATCATTTCCATAATCTTACCCACGACGTCTTTTCCTTATACCGGGGACGCCGTGGCCTCTCCGTCCTGTCGTTCGTCGCGAATCGAACGGCGTTTCCTCGTTTCAAACGCATTGCATTTCTGCCGGACAACCAAGCGCGAAGCTCTGTGCGGTGTGAGCGCGCTCCTCGGTCCCTTTCGTTTCGTCGATCAGAGGTCACGGTTGCCCCCGCATCATCGACTTGGTTCTCTCGCGCAGTAAGGCAGGCGAGCAAATTTTCTATTTTTCTAGCTGTTGTAGTCGACGCGGAAGTCACGCCGATCGCTCGAGCTGGCCTCGCGCATCGCGCCCGAGGAAGATGCGGGCGAGGAGGCGAGAGTGTGTCGCGTATGATTGACGTCGAGCACGCATGCGTATCGTGTCAATGTACGTAGCACGCATGCGGTCGCACGAGTACGTGGAGGCGCGCGATTGTATGCGAAGCGTGCACGTCGCCGGGCGAACCTTCCCTTCCTTTCTCGGGAACGGCGAAAAGAAGGAGAGGAGAGGAGAGTGAGAGAAAGGAAGACAGACTGGGAGATAGAGAGGAAGAGAGATAGAGAGAGAGAGAGAGCGCGCTCGAGGTGGATCGCGGAAACGCATTGCCTTTAGCGTCGATTTTCTTTACGCTCTTACTCGGCGGCCGTCGACCGCCCTGTCCCTCTCCCCCTCCCTACCAGCCCCCGCTCCACGCTGCCCCCCGATCGAATCGATTAAAGCCCTCCTCGATAGCGGAATAACGTGTAATCGCGTTCCTCGTGTAGTCCTAAAACGCGAAAACGACTGGTCTTCTCGGTAGATAGATCTTTTTCTAGGCTTTAGCGTGCACGCGTGTGTGCGCGGCATCGTTGTTTCGAGGGAGCTGGAAAGCGCGCAAGCACCGTATAGGGCCGACAGCGTTACTTCTCAAGCGACTCAAGCCACCCTTCATCCTTCCTAACCCCCTTCACCCCGTCTCTTTACCTCACTCTCCATTCCTTCGTCCACGTACACACGACGAATACACACACCACATTATGCGTTTACACATTTACACGTGCGTTCGCACGCATGCATGCATGTATATATACGTATACACGTGATCCTCCCTCACCCCCCCCTCCCCCTTCACCCTACGTCTCTCCCTCTCCCCGATCCGATTTTGGATAAAATGTATTTGCAAATAGCGAATGACGATTTGGAATATGTATGTGTAAATGTATTAATCATGTCTATATATAAAATATACGTTAACTGTCGTGCGTATCGTATATTTTATATACGCAAAATCATTTATAAATAGTTACTCGTTATTCGCGGATATACTTTACTCAACACCGCTCCGAAGAACCCTTTTCCACCGCCAGTCCTGAAAGACTCGACGACTCTTATGTGATTATTTAAAGACTTATTTTTTCTATAATGATAACGATAATAATGATAATAAGTTAATGCGTAGCGAAGAAACGTTTTATTAAGGCGATAACTGCGATAATGCGCATCTTCGGCAAAGACTCTTATTCAAGTATGAAACATGACGGAAGTAAGCGTGCAAACAATATTATTGAGAACATGCGAAATATGTACGAACGGCGAATAAATAAACAACATGAATCGGCGATTCTGAGTGTTTCGTTTCGAGGCCCACTCTGATCGTTCATTCGCGTTCGATCAACGTCTCGAATATTTCCAGTGTCCGAATTTTGCCCCGGCCGATTGTTAGCCATCCTCTTTGCTCACCAATTTTACACGTAACAAATATCTGTTCGAAGATCTGAAACGATCTCTGTAATAATAGCAAGTGGTAATTACAAAGAATCATCCATAAGCTCAATTACGTTCTAATTCCAACTAATTCTATGTACAATATGAAACGTAGCGGTGTTTCGGTCATTTGTGGCTAAAACGTAGTATTTTCGGAGATAATACCAGCAGTCGGTATTCACTCAGATGGTAGCAACGAAACTGCACACGCTATATCGTCGCCGTTGATCATCCCCGTTGCTAGTGCCATCTCCAAAAGTATCGATACTGAGGGTTTTACTCTCCGACAGAACAAAGGTATCGACTATCGGTATTCCCCGAGATACTTTAGCGAGCGATGCACAGTTACTTCTTACTTTTCCACGGAAACGAACCCGGCTTCTTCATTTCAGAAGACGGAACCTGTTTTCTAATTGACAACCGCTTGGACGGCGCGATTAGACGACACAGTCTTAAACAGAAACAACCGGACAAGACTTCTTCTATCTCGTCAATTTCAGGAACGAAATCCACATCGATCTCCCTTTTACTTCTGCCCGCAGACGACGCTACATGACCGGAAATCGGCGCATCGCATTGTTGCACTTCCTGAGAATCACCACGACCGACGTTCGACATCGACACTTGGCCGGACTTTTTCGCCAAAAAGATCGAATATCGATCCTTCGAGTCGTCCACCTGATCCCGCCACGTCTCGTTATCTTTCACCACCTCCAAGGGAGCCTCCTTGAAATCTCGAACCCACAGGTTGTCGCGGTCGGGCCGTCTATGGGGAATCTCTATGAGACTCGACGTCTTCCTCAGTATGTTTTCCCCGAAGAGGAGCGACGGATTCGATCTTGCGACCCGCGACTTCGAGGACTTGTCGCGGCTCCTTCCGTGGGTCTCCTCCGCCGACGAGTGCCCCGAGCAACTGTTCGCTCTGGAGTCCACTCGGCAAGCGCGATTTTCATAAATGATCTCCGCCGGCTTCGAAGTTCGGCCGTCGTCCCGCAGCTTCGAGGTTCTTTCGAATCTCGACGAGAACATCCGCATGAAGCGCTTTATCGCTGACCTCGAGGACAATTCGTGCTCCCTCTGGTCCTGCGCGACGCAGCACAGAATGTCCGTGACCGTCTCCTCCAAACCCTCGTTGGCCAACCTCGTGATGCTCGGATGCGTCTTCAGCGGACGCGTGATCTTCTCCTTCGGCTGGTCGTCCTCCATCTTACCGCCGAGGAAGTCCTTATCGGGCACCACCTGGAAATCGATCGGGCCCTCTCGTTTGGCGGAGAGCGTCGCCGGTGCTTCCGAGATCGTGAAGGGGAAGCGCTCTTGGCTCTTCCTCTTCCTCCTGTGCGGCTCACCGCTCAAGTTCAACGTCGACGAGGAAATTCGCGCGACGAAACTGGAGATCTCCTGCGTCCTGTGCAGCTGGAATCCCGCTTTCTCCGGCCGCGCGACCTTCGAGGACTCCGAACTTTGGTCGCGGCTCGACTGGTCGTTGGGAGCTTCCGGGCCGCCTCTTTGCTCTTCAACGATCTTCTCGATGCCCGGCGATTGATTCGATCGCAGAAGCTGAGGAGGAGAGGAATCGTACTCTTCTTTCACCGTCGATCCAAAGCACTTCTCCGTCCGCAAGTGTACCGCTTCCGGCTTGCCGTCACGCGACCCACAACGACCCTTGTCCTTCGCATCGTCGGGATATTCTTCGTCGTTGTCCGACGCCCATTCGTCCTCCGCTCGCCAAGCGACATTTTCCTCGGCGTTTCTCAACGCCTCGAGTCGAGATCGCTTCTTCGCGTCGTTGTATTTCGACGGACACGGCGATTCGGCGGAGCTCATGATATTCGTGGTCTCCGCGCTCTTCCGCAACATCTTACCGTCCGATCGCGATTGCACGTCCTCGTCGATCCTAGAGAAGTGCCGAACGCCGGGAAAAGCCACCTCGTGAGAACGGAACACGGCGAACTCGCAGTGCCTGCTCTCGGACGGCGCCTTGCGACGAACGTCAACCTCAGGTTCAGCATTTCGGGGATTCTGCGGATTCGGGGGAGATAAACTCGCACGCTCGCTGATTTCGCCTTCCGTTTCTTCGTCCTTGCGCATGAACGCACTCGAGCGTGCTCCAACGATCGCGACTTCGGTTCTATTCTCTCTCGATAAAGGATTCTGCTCATGGATTCGGGAATACGAGCTGACGTTTGGTCGCCGGTGGACGATATCGCACACTTCGGTGAGGACATCGTCCCGATCGCTGAGCCCCGCTTCCTCGTGATTGGCGATTTTGCCGGAACTGCCTGAATCCGCGCGGCATCCTGAAATTAAAGTCGCGCTGCCGGAGGATGCGATCTTGCTGCTGGGAACCCTGACGGGTATTTTCGAAGGAACGCGCGACGGAACTCTGCCGGGCGACTCCGAGGATCTCGATACGCGCCACGTTTCTCCTTTCGCGGTAGGACCTGGAACCGTGCCGAATATATCGCTCATGTCCTTTCCCCGAAGGTTCTCGCGATTTCTCACGTCATCCTTCTTTTCATTTTCTTGCTGACGGGACATCACCGAAAGAGCTTCGTGAAGCTCGCGCGGATCGAGAGGCTGCACCGCAGAGCACTCTCGGCTGTACGCCGACGTCGAATACGAGAGGTCCTGCGAATTCAGCGCGAGCGTGGGCACGTTCGTGCCGATGTCCTGATCGTATTTATCCGACGCATCGTTTTGCAACTTCCCGCTCGGGAGCGCCTCTTTCCGCCAGTGCAGTTTCGGGCTGCAGGACGACCTACTGTGACTTTCGCTCCTGAACGCTTCGGAAGTCTGAGAAGATAGCGCCTCCTCCGTGGTGTCGTTTCGACATCTTCCGATTAAGCGCGGTGAGTCGTCAGCTTCTCTCGCGTAAACACCCGTCGGCCCCTTTATCGTTTCGAAGATATCTCGCTCGACGTTTCCTGCGGTATTATCTCCGCGAGCTTCACGAAAGCTGTTATCGGCTCGCCTCGCCGAGCAATCGAGTCCGCAGCCCTCCGCGTTGTCGTGGCGTACTTCAGGCGCGATAACGCGGGAACGATAACTTTTTTCCTCCTCGTCATACGACTCCTCGAACTCGGTGCAACGTCGTGAATCGTCATCCCGGTGAACCCGACGATCGTCGTCGCCGCGTCGCGAGTACGTCGAAGGTAGAAGAGTCGGCAATATCGAGCCCGTGATGTCGCTTCGCGCCGACATGATGGGCATCTTCTTCGTGGGCTCGTGGGCAATGGCGGCCTTGTGTTTCGGTGAGGACAGTTCGAAAGTCGCCGAGACCGAGTCGGCGATCTTTCGGGCGGAGGGCAGACTCGCCCCCTCGGCGGAGCCCGATTCGCTACCGGAGCTCAAGTTCCTCAGGACGACGCCGGAGGTCGGCCGATACCCGCCGATCCTCCTCTTGGGCCGGACGTGGCTGAAGGCGAACGGCGAGACCGATCGGAGACCGGCCGATCTCGAGTGGCCGTTGCGAGGCGCGAAGAACGCGTCGTTCCTGACGTCGTGCGCTCCGGTATTGACGGGGAAACGCGAGGTGGTCGGCTCGGACAAGGAAGTGGGTCGAGGTTGTCGACGAAGTGTCGGCTCGATCGCGGACAATCGCGAGTAATCGCACTCCTGAGTCGATCGAGGGGACACGGTAGACCCGACGGGATTCAATTTGTCGTCGTTGTTGTCGTCGTTGTCCTCCTCCTCGCCGCAATCGGTGACTTTGAAGGAGCCGACGGATCGCGAAATCACCATCGCTTTGTCGTCGTGACGCGAACTTTCCGAACGAACACGCGCCCTCCTCCGGGCTCGGGCGTCAATCGGCCTCTTCGATACCCCCGAGAAGCCCTCGGCCCTTTTTCCCTTTTCCTCCTCCCACTCGTCGCTCTCCTCGATTCGATCGGCCGCTCCGTGCAGGCGGAGGAAGAGCTCGCGCTTCCGACTGATCCGGCGACCGAGCGCTGCCGTCCGATCGCCCAGCGGAGTGAATTCGTCCGACGACGGCAAGTCCTGGAGACGTCGCCTCAGCTCGGACGGCGAGCTCCCGCTGGAACCGCCGGAGCTGGACGCTCGGCCGCCCGACCCAGCGTCAATTACCTGGTCTGATCCGGTTCGGTCAAGTATTAGGCTGCCGACGTTTCGGACGTAGCGGTAGAGGTTATACGTGGAAACAAATTTCGTATCAATTTGGAACTCATATATAAACAAAAATATATAATCTTACACGAAAATAAAACCAGCTTATATGTATGAAGAAATTCTATGTATAATAATTCCGTCAAAAGTATCATATTTTTGTTATGCAAGAATGATTTTCACGAATCGAAAGGAGAAAAATATTGGATAGGAAGGACGACATCTTCGATGGAAAAATTGTATCAGTTTGTATCAGTTCGAAGATATTCATCCATATATTTATTTACTTAATCATTCAATTAATGAGAACATGTCTCTTTGATGTACAAGTTTAAAGACGGAGGAAATAATGCAAATTTAGTTCCAATATGTAGGTTCCAATATGTATCGAATTGCATACAAGAAGAAAAATAACAAGTTCTTTCTATCCAATATTTTTTCCTCTCAATTCATTAAAATTATCCTTGAATAACATAAAGAACATGATATTGTTAGATATTTTTAGTTCTTACAACCAGAACAATATATTCATTTTTTCATGTAAGCAAGTTTTATCTTCATACAAGATTATACATTCTTGCTTATATATGAGAATATGTCTCGAATTGATACTAATTTTTTCCATGTACGCTCGATGGACTCATGTCACGTGTCACATGATTATCGCAAACGCGCTAGTTGATTGCATTAAACATGAAAAATGAGTTTAGTTAGTTGGATCTACCTGACAACG